AATTAATGCTTGGAATATCGATAATTAGGCCGACTTCATTGTCAATGCCCCATTCTGTGCTACCCTCTAAGCTTTGTTGGCATTATCGCCTCAAGTAGGCATAGAGCCCATTTGGCCCTTTTGCCTGCAAAATAAATTGCTTTCATTTTTGCCACTTTGCCATTAGCAACTTTTTCAAGTTTCAAATAGTAAAATGGAAGTTTTACGTGGTCCTACATACATTTGTGGATAAGGAGATGGATGACTATCAACCCCCTTGCCCTCAAGAATGGCTATAACATGCACGTGCTGAAGTGCCATTACTTGTAACCGCCTTTCTTACACTGCCATAGTCAAAGCGGTATTCCCAGTGAAAATATTTTAGAGTTAAAAATCAGTGCGCAAGCACTGCACTACATTTGACATACACATTAATGGGTTTTCATTTTGAGGGCGAACATGCACAATATAGTCAAACCAACTACTCCCCTCATTTTCTTATCGCATTTAAAACAACGGGTTGGGCATGCACATGACCTACCAACAGGTGTGTGGGTAAGTAAGTTCAATTGAAATTTAATTCCGCATAAAGTTGATATTTAACTAGTTTCTTTTCTGGGACAAAAATTCAGGCATGTATTGCGTAAGAAAAAGTAGTATGTTGTATGTTGCATTGTTTAACGGCCCATTAAGAACAGCTTGTATGTGCCTTAATGGGAGCAATTAGTGGTACTGAATGGTTTCACCAATATACAGCGAGAATGATGTCTTGAAATATTTGGGCCGATGACATTTCTGGGTAATTAATAAAGACCTTCGCCACATTGATCAAACAAAACTGCTAGCAGTGATAAAGGGGGTTGTCAACCTTATTCTATTTCACAAAACTTTTCTAACACTGTAATTTGGAAATCGGATAAGTTGCTTAAATTGATTGTGACATCCAGTTTGGCAAATTATTTTCAAAGGAGTAAACTCTTTGGTGTAGTTATAGAGGTTCATGAATTGATTAAACTCATTATTAAGGGAGTAGAAATCGGAATTAAAGTTGTTTGCGTGTGCCGGGAGTCGAACCCGGATCGACTGCTTGGAAGGCAGCCATGCTAACCGCTACACCACACACGCCTGCGTGCAGGTTTAGAATAATTACAGATAATACAACTTCTCTAACAACTGTTGACACGGGTTACCACCCCCGTTGCAAATATTAGTTCAGTCAGTCAGTCGCAAACATTCAAATAATTGTGTACTCAAGATCTTCCATTTGCACCTCGAGCACCAAATTTGAGTTCGATAAATCATTGGCCCTTCCCAAATTGTCAAAGTGGCAATTACGTTTGCAAGTCGACTTCACCTGTGCACAAAATGCTTGATTAGCATAGCTTTTCTTCTAGTTTTTCAATATTCGAAGGGATTAAATCGGCCATTTAGATGACAGGCCTTAAAAAAGTACTATGCATGCATTTAAGTAAGTATCTGTCCATTGTACAGTTTTAGCTACAAACCCCTTTCTCGTAATATTCTTACCATGCTGTTGCTTCAGAAAATTATACTTTGGCATAAAGAATGGCGTTGTAAAGTCCATATTTTCAGGACAAATTAATAAAACCTCTTGTTGCAAAATGGTGGCCACATCTACTAAAATGATGCAAAAACGCATGTGCTTTGACTCTGTGCATATATTGCCACCATTTATGCATTGAATCG